AAAGCAGCTGCTGATAATGAAAAAATCACAAGTTTTTTTGAAGTTCATGAAGCTCAAATTAAGGACCCAGAACTATTTGGTAAATTTTTCATCTTTTTTTTTTTTTTGGTTGATCCAGCTTCATCAACCATTTTTTTTGCTTTTCTTTTGCTGCTGCTTGCAGCTGTCCCAGTAGAAGTTGATGCCTCAGGTTCATTGAGATCCTCGAGCCATAAATTTTGAGTGCTCATTTCTGAAATTATTTCTTCAGTTGCATCTGTTTCATCTGAATCAATATTAACATCAGTAGAAGTTGATGCATTTTCTTTTTGATTGGCATCCACAAACCTGTCCAATGCTGCTTCAAGTTCATTGAGATCCTTGAGCTGTAAATTTTGAGTGTTAATTTCTGAAATTATTTCTTCTGTTTCATCTTCAATATTTTCATGGGTAGAAGTTGATACATTTTCTTGATTGGCATCCACCCATGCTGCTTCAAGTTTCTCAAGATCCTTGAGCCATAAATCTTGAGTGCTTATTTCTGAAATTGTTTCCAATTCAGAATATAGAGACTTCTTTTTATTTTCATATTTGTCCACTTCTTCTCTACTAAAGTCCCAACATGTAAGATTCATAAGGTAATCATATCCTTTGATGTTTCTGTTGATCTCAGTACTCTCAGATGAATCTTCTTCAGGCTGCACATTGTATATTTTCTCAAATTCATGGGATTCAAGAAGTTTTATGATTTCTGCCTTCTTTAATCCTTCAAACTTTAATGTTGAGTCAAGCTTCATATTAATAAACTTTACTTTACCATCAATTATACTAATTTGTTTCTGCAAATCTTTAATCAAGTGATTCTATAATATATATACATGACAAAATATACAGTAGATTAAAATATTGTTGAAAAGTCAAATAAAAATATATATTAATAACCAACATACTTTTCTTTCAACATAAAGCTTCAATCGTTCATGGTAAAATTCTTCTATGATGTCTTCTGGGGAGTCATACTTTGCAAGTTTATTGTTTGAATCAAAACAAATCATATTTGACATTGTCAGAAAATTTGTTAATTGGAATGCCTTTTTGAGTCCCTTTTCCTCTGCTTTTTCCATTTGCTCAACAGTTAATTCAATTTCAAGATCTATCATTTCATTAGTGCAATTGTTTCTAGAAATGTTACTGATTGTGTTGTTTTCTCTGAAATCATTAAGAGTTTTGGATATGTAATCCTCAGTCCACTTGCGAACTGGTAGTTCTGATATTACAACATGTGTATCATTTGTTTTGGAAATTATTCCATGTGATGTGTATTTATTGAGCTCAGTTGGTTTGATCTCTCCATAAAATCCACGATACCAAGGATGCATTGGGACCATATCTTCATCTTTGATCTTTCTTTTCAAATTGTCAATAATGTCCTTGGGATTGAAATTAGGAATACTGGTGCTCCAACCTGTTCCTATGCCTTCTGCACCATTGATCATTACCATTGGAATGATAGGAACGTACCATTTAGGTTCAATACTTTTACCATCATCATTCAGGTAGTCTAATAAAATATCATCATCTGGGTGGTAAATTAATCTTGCAAATCTTGAGAGCTTGGTTTTAATATAATGTGCACTTGCTGGACTTTTACCACCATCATTTCTTTTCCCAAACTGGCCAATAGGTTCTAGTAGATTGATGTTGTTGGATCCTACAAAGTCTTGTGCAAGTTTAATTATAGTTGAGTGAAGACTGGATTCACCATGGTGGTATGCAGAGTTGTCAGAAACATATCCAGCCAATGTAGACACTTTATTCTGATCTTTTATCAAATTTTTTTTAATGCAACTAAATAAAACTTTTCGTTGTGCAGGTTTTAAGCCATCTATTACTGAAGGAATTGATCGGACATTATCAGAAAGTGAAAAGAGTGACAACTCTTTATTAATAAAGTCCTTGATTGTAATTTCGCTCTGTCTATAATCAATATAGGTCCTGTCTTCAATTCCTTTGATCCAAGCCTTACGTTCGTCAGCTTTCTTTTTAGTGAATACCATTTCAATAAGTTGGTGGTCTTCATTATCCATTGGCTTAAATTGTTTAATGTGTTTACCCAAGTCACTGAAATATTCTCTAGCTTCTTCAGAGGTGCTGTTTCCAAGGCCTTCATAATATTTCACCTCCCACCCTTTTCCATTATCATTGTTGCTTTTCCATTCTTCAAGCTCTTCCAATGTATAGAATGGTACCTCTGTTTTGTCTTTTGTGCACTTCACAATTGGAGTAACAAATTTTTGTAGGAAATATTGTCTTAAAAGTGAAGGGAACAAGCAATCTAAGAAGTTTATGATCAGGCCGGTGATATGACTTCCGTCAAGATCTTGATCAGCCATGACCAATAAACTTCTGTACTTCAAGTTGCTCAACGAATCATAGGTCCTACCTTGTTCCAATCCAAGGACCTTAATCAAGGCCTGGACCTCCTCATTTTGAGCAACTTGTTGTACTGTTGCATCCCTCACGTTCAAGAGCTTTCCTTGTAGGGAGTGAACTCCCCACTTCTTGTTATTTGTAGCCTCCAAACCAGCTAAGGCAAATGCCCTAGCTGATTCTCCTTCAGTCAGAATTAGTACTGATTCAGCATCTTCTGCTGAAACTAATCCTGGTTTGCTGCAAGTAAATAAATAAATAATGTTAAAATGAATAAAATAAATTTTTGACTGATCCTGATCTCTAAATTAGAATAGCTCTCAAAACAATAAATAATACTTACTCTGAGGCTACTCTCACATTGGTGTGTCGTAATTTTATTTTGTTGCTTTTTCTAATCGGCATTTTATAAATTTTTATAAAATTTTAAATTATTAATTGCCCCCCTTATTTTTCTTTATTATATATATTTTCTTGTAACGCAAGACGTGACACGAATTTTACTAACAGTCGTGAGACATGCATGTCACAAAAATAGTGAATTTTGATCATTGACATCAAATTTTTCATAATAAAATTTACAATTGTACTTTCAAACCCCAATTTAGTGCCCTGGTTGTGTAGCAGTCATCACCAAATTTGATATATAGTTTCTTTATGGTATACATCTACTTCATGAAAATTTTGAGGCAGGTTGTTAATAAAACTGTTGCTAATCAATTACAACCTTAAAGTTTTTTTTGTTTCTGTGATCTCGTGTGTAGAAAATTGTCATTCATATTGATTGTGAACAAATAATTACTTTTTACAAGTAATTACAGAACTCAGTCACTTAGGTATGCTTTCTACTAGAATTTATTTTATTAAGAATAGAATTTTGCTAGAGAAAGCTTATAAAGTAATGTAAAAATTATTCATTATTATAAATATATTATATAGTTTCAACTTTAAATTTATTAATAACTCTTCTTTGAAATATATTATTGTATTTTTTTGATATAATATAAAGAAGGTTTCATTCTTGGTGCAAAGGAAGGTTTTGTTTTTGGTATGTACAAAGAAAAGTTTTGATTTTGGCACAAAAGAAAGGTTTCATTTTGATGCAAAGAATTAACATTCACAATGGCAGGTTCCTTACTAGAACACTTCTAATTCTTCATCTCCTGAGGTCTCATATTTTGACAAATCAGATTCTTTTTCATCTCCAGATGATTGAACTCCTTTATACTTATGTGCCACATCAACTGTTGCTTTCTTATCATTCCAGAACAATGTTAATTTAGAGTCACTCCAGTTTATTACAACATTCACCTTTGATAACCAATCATTTCCAAGAATTGCATTATAAGTATTACCATCAGTAACTATAGCTGACAATGGAATGGTAATTCCTCCAATAGTCAATGGTAAATCATCTACTTCTCCCAAAGGTGAAACCTTTTGTCCATTCACATTAATGATCACTACAGAGGATTTCCATGATATCTTTAATCCTAGCTCATCAAATAATCCTTTAGATACTATGCTTCCAGCTGCACCACTGTCAACAATTCTTAGAAAGCTTTTCCCATTGATGCTTGCTTTACAATACATGGCGTTGATATAATGTCAGCATTCAATTGTTCTGTTTGTTGTGTTCTCTTGATTCTTCTAGTTTGGGGAGTTTGTAAGCTCTTTTGATAATTCCAATCTGAGTTTTGGTACTGCTTGAACAATTGTCCAAATGTGATATCAGCCTTTTGTTTCTTAATATTTGTTACTACTGAGTATGGTTGGATCAAATTCGAAATTGGAGATTGAGCAGCACTTCTCTTTTTTCTTGGTGATTTCCTTGCAGCTTTCTTCTTTCCTTCCTTGGATCCTTCATCATTTTATTTACTAGGCTCTTTCCTTTGTCAAGAATCACTCAAATGTTCTGATTGAATCTCCATGGCCACCCCAGTTCCTTCTTCCGTTGTTCTTTGCTTCTTTGTTTCTACTGGCAACATTAGTTTGACTGTATTATTTAACACCACATCTGCCAAAAGTGAATGCGAAGTTTGTTGGTTATTATTATTCTCATTGTTGCCTCTTGCTGCATTATTATTATTATGATTGTTATGATTGTTGTTGCTTCCACCATTATAATTATCATTACTCTGTAGACAATTCTTACTGAAATGTCCCAGTTCTCCACATCTATAACAATGTACTCCTACTCTGTAATTATTATTTTCTGCATTTGTTGTTCCATTCCTATTATTATTATTATTATTATTATTATTATTATTATTATTATTATTATTATTATTCTGAGGACAATTCCATCTTACATGTCCTACTTGACCACATCTATAACATGTTACTGGCAGATGGTTTTCATTCATTGCACTATTTTGGATTCTTGGTCTTTGATTATTCCCTTTCATCATATTAGCCAGTTGATTAATTAATCCTTGCAATTGTTGGTCCACTCCTTTATTTAATCCTGGAATATTTGGTATGAATTGTACTGCTGAATAGGCAGATAGAATTCCCCTTGTGAGTAAGTCAACTCATAAGCCTTAGCTCTTTCAATTGCTTCTTGAATGGTGTTAGGTAAGAATAAACTAACAGCCATCAACAATTCAGGTTGTAACCTTTCCATAAACATTCTGGTTTTTATTCTATCTGGATAGTTGTTTCCTCTGTGTTCAATTCTCCTAAATAATTCATAGATACGTGCTGCAAAAGCATCTATAGTTTCTCCAGGTAATTGTTTCCATTTCTCTAACTCAGCTGCACATCCTTCTTCAATTGCTCTAGTTCTATATCTAGTTTGGAAATTTGGAACAAACTTGCATCAAGGGTGCCAATGATCTATATCTTCTTTCACTTGAGTTCACCATGTAGCTGCTCCTGCTTTTAATCTCAGTACTGCCACTACTGCCTTACAATTATCTGCTACTCTATCTACAACAAAAGCTTGCTCCATCTCTTCTAACCAAGTAATTAGGTCTTGATCTCCTCCATAATATTCCAGGTATTTTATATTGTTCAATTCGGCTGGCACTGCTGGTTGTGGTTGTCCTAGTGTATTTACCACTTGAGTGAGTATATCTGCAAAGTTTTGTAGTTCTTGTGCTTGCATTTGGACAGGTTTGGCTGTTGATGTATGGGTTGATTTATTTGTTGATTTATATTAAATAAATTTTCTATTCTTGGAGTGGATTCTTTGTCTGAATCACATTCTGATTCTTCTGAAATTTTGCTAGGTTCTGGATTATCACTTGAGTTATTATTATCTTCTATACCTATTGGCTCTGGAGAACTTTGTATTACTTCGTTTAAAGCTATCCCAGAGTGGTGAGTCCCTGCTGCTGCAACTCAGTAATATACTTCCTGGGTGTTCCCATATCTTAGATTAACTAATAATATTAAAGTGAGCCATCCATAAACACCAAATATTCTGGCCCATTAGTATTAGGTTAGGAACAAGAAATTAATTTAAAGCATCATTGGAAGGTGTGCAATTTTGTCCATTTGTGATTAATGTAGATTCTAAATGGATAATTCCAATGCCAAGCAACAATAGTAAGTAGTTACCCAAACGTAAAAATAATTGATCCTTTTACTAATAAAATATTATAAATAAACATAACCTCTAATCCCAGTCAGTGGTCTATTAGTAAAATCAAAGAAGAAATGATAAAATATAATCTGGAAATTGATAATAATAGTAGTCATGTTGAATTAGTGGCTCTTTTGCAAGAAACAATTGATAATGAAACAAAAATGAAAATTACAGGTATGAATTTACATATCTGAACATGTATTTGTATTTGTAGATTGTTATACTTTTTTTGTAGAGGAAACAAATCCAATTCCACAAGAGACTGATGCTATAAATGATATGAATGAGAGGGATGTAGAAAAACATAAATCAGAATCAAACCTTAGTGAAATGTGGGAAAAATTGATAATGATATAATCCAGTAAGAATCATTTAAAAAATAAAATTATTTTTTCCTTGGAACTCACCTTAAAAAACAAGTTTACTGACACTAACTATGTTACTTTGCCAATCAAGTTGATTATTTTGTGATAGGATGGGCTTGAAGGAAAATCAAGTTTATGGAAATAAAGGGGGTGGTGATAAAGTCAAGGAATACCTGCAAATATATTTTCTTTTTGGTAATATGAATAGAAGTCAACAATTTTCTGCAAAAGATATGTCAGAAGAATTGAAAGAGCATGTAAAACTTGGTGAACTTACATCCAAAGAGTTGCCAACAATCAAAACAATTGAAGGATGGATAAGTCGTTTTGCTGCTTCTCATAAAAAATCAATGGCACAGAAAATTTTAGAAGAAACCAAAATAAAAATCAATGACATTCTAAAAATTCATTCTTGCTTACTATAATTGCATCCCAAAATTATTTTATGGAGAAATTCAACATTTTGAGTTTTAAAGTTATTTTTTAGTTGATATTAAAATGTTTTATATTTATTTTTTGACACATTCTTATGTTTTCCAATAATTTATATATGTAAAAAATATGAATTTTATACCCATAATCCAGGACCGCTGGTTAAATAACAGGAAACTGACAGATTTAACAGCTCATATTTTCATAAGTAAATATAATATTTCACATTTGTTTAACATAGTTGGATATAAAAGATAATATATGTAACATAATAAATGCGTGACTTTTTGTGGGGGCAAAAAAATCGACCAAATTAATTTTAATATGAAAATAAAATTTTTTGCCCCGATCGGCACTAATTAAGTTCTTTCCTTTATTCGTGGAACACGAATTAAGTTTTTTAATTAATAGTCAATATTTTGAAATAGTAAATAACCGAAATAAACACAAATTCAAATTTTCAATAACAAGTCCCTATCCACTTATAGCTTCTTTAAAAATTCAGGGTATATTACCATTAAAACTTTTGAAATATAATAAATAATTTAGATAATTTTGGAGGTAAAAAGCAACGAAATTTCTGGGGTTCATTAATATATATAATAATAATATACTTTTCATCCTATGTCATATACTCGATGAAACCTTTTCATGAACATAGGAAAGATCTCAACAGGTGCAATTTTAATAAAATTCAAATCCCACTCTAAATTTTCCATTGCAATCTACGTAAAGGCGGTTGCAACCAGCGGTTGCAATCATTTTTATATGACGCAAAGGTGGTAGCAACCATCATCAAAAGTTGCAGCCGGTATCCTTAAAACATGTCATCATTCTATAATGCCATCTGTATTTTATATAAATAATAGATTTAGGCATGTGGTAATGTGAAATTGATTCAAAAAAATATTTAAATCTTAGAAATATTATTACAAGTTATAAATAAATTAAAAACCTACATATTAATATATATAAATCTAGGGTTTACAAAAATCCAATTCACTCACTATTGAATCCAATTCACTGTCGAATCTCAACGAACATAATAATAACAAAAGTATATAAAAATTACTTTTTTTAAATAAAGAATGGTGTAACATATCAAAAATGTACCTTAAAACAAAACAAAAAACAACGAAATGTGCCCCAAAAATCAGCCTGAAATCGTGTAACATTGCAGAAATCGGTGGATATGCAATATTTAGGCTCGTTAATAAATTATTAAATTAAAAAAAAAGTAAACACTACTAATATTATATATAAATTAATTTAATTAATATTTAAACAATAATAGTGAATTAATAATCTTAATTTGTATTTTTGACACCTTTAACTTTTATCAATTATTCGAAAAACTTCCAATTCATCACATTTATTTTGTATTACAAGTGTGTAGATAGCAACTACTAAAACCATTATCATTAAAAAGAACGTCAGCACCACCAAAAATGGGAAACTAAGAAAGATTACACCTGATGCTACGTAAGTTTGCTTGCCGAAACCTCTTAATGACCGCCGAAACCTTTTCAATTTGCCGAAAACCCAAATGCGAAACTCTGCCAAAACTCTAATAAACAATTAGTCGAAACTCTGTCGATTGATTTCTGGAGGAGTTCCAGCAAGCAATCATAATGCTACGATGATATTATTATTATTATTATTATTATTATTATTATAACTAGACTGTGCAGTATTAACATCATTTACATTATTTATATTAAATATAAATCTATCAGTTACAGTTTTATTTCCATTTCCTCTCCAATCGAAGGGATTGTAGCCACCAATTATTTGATCTGAATGTTGTATTCTAGCAACAACAAGAGTTTTGTTGAAATTATCACATTTTTAATGAAATATAGTTGCATTTAAACCATCTCTACTACCATGATACAAAACTTTAAACTTATATTTGTCGTCACTGAATGAAGTATATAGTGATTAACTCGCAAATTACCTCACCCGATCAGGCATATATTGCTTTAAACAGGCGTAAATCTTGGGAATGATGTCCATATAAATTCATTGGACGCAAATGCATTCGTTGCTGGCCAATAAATGGTAGAGGAGTATGAACGTTTAAAACAAATAGCCAAAAGATATTTACCGATGTGAAAGTATATACATATGCATGTATTAGTCAATTAAGATCCTTTAATCATGTTGCACGTTTTATGTGAAAATTAAATTGACCAACCAAAAATACCCATGTGGCAGAGAAAACATTCATTTTTAAAAAATAATATCATCTTTGCTGTTATACGAAGGTAAATTATCGAGTTTCATATGAAAATCCTTAATAATCAAGGTTAAATAATTGGTTCTGAAATTTTATCCGTTAAACCCTAAAATCAAGGTCCGCTAAATCAGAGACGCATTGTGTATATCTGCTCGTCATTCACTCGCTCACTACTTATGCTTATTTATTATTGTAATTGTTTTAATTTCGTTATTACTTGCAGAATTTATTTGTTTACAAAAACTTCTACTAGAAGTAAAATGAATATTGTGAAATAATGATTTACAGTTACGAACGTAATAAACCAATCTCATATCCTAACATTCTATCATTCCAAAATTCTATTTAAAAGAAAGAATTAAAATCATTTGTTCACTTTAAAAAGAATATTTTTAAGACTATATCACCAAGAGTTCTCAAAAATAAGGGAACTAGACAATTGAACTTTTAGAATATATAAATAATGTTGTAATTTTCTTAACTTCATATTTTGATTTTGACGATGTATTGATTTCATAATAAAAAACTATCCTTGTCCTTGTCTTTTCTTTCATTATTTTGGTCAGTGGAAGTGATGTAATAATTTAATAATGTAATAAAGGGACTATTTCGCCGGTTAATTTTAACCAGTTAATCACAGCTATAGTAGCCAAATAAATAATAAATAATTTTAAAACATAATAAAAGTGACAAGGTTTAAAATAATTCAAGTATGTCATCTAGTATAACTAAATCGATTTGGTGAGAATCTACAAGATATTATCATAAGAGTGATTATTAATAAATATTGTTGATTCTAACAAAAATGAAAATAATCAATGATTGAATGTTAATAATTACCATTATTATTATTAATAATTGTCACTTTATTGGCATTCACAGGTTGGGGAAGGTTTTCAAAATTTAATGATCTGCTAGTATAAACAGCATTTGAATGAATTGTTCCAGTATTTGTTGAAGGATCAAATTCTATTTTATCCATTTTATCAAACTTTTTTCTAATTATTTCATCCTGCTGTCCTTTTGAATATCCATAACCTTCAAAATTATTTATTACATGATCATTAAGTAAATTATTCCAAATTTCAATAATCTTAAAAATTTTTCCAGCAGTTGGGCGTTTATCTGGATTAGCATGCATGCATCTGGATGCTAGTTCAATATAGAATTTTGGTGTATTGTATGAGAATTTAGGTCTTTTGCCTTCACATATTTTTATTGCAAGATCTAAATCATGTGCCAAATTATTAAATGGTTGTTGACCAGTTGATACTACAGACATCAGAACTCCAAAACTGTATATATCTGATGCTTTTGTATATGGGTTCTCTTTTAAAACCTCTGGTGCAACATATGGTAGTACTCCATATATACCATTTGGTGATGGTGTTTGACCAGTTATGAATGATAATCCTAAGTCTGCAATATATGAATATAAATCTGATTGAAGAATATTACCACTATGAAAATCACGATGAACAATTTCTTCCTTATGAATATCATTTAAACCATTAATAATTTGTCTAAGAATATAAATTTTGTCTTTCCATTTTAAATTTTTAAAATTTTTTATTAAATAATAGCGAAGGTTTCCACTTCCTATATAATCCATTATAAATATATATTCTTTTGTAATTGGATCTTGTGTTAATCCGTAAATATGAATTATATCTGCTTTATCACGAACCTTCATATAATTCATAAACTAAAATACAAATAAAATGTTTAATTGTGACAATAATATTTAAAAAATTGAAACTAATATTAATAAAATAAATTACCTCATTAAGAAATTCATCAGAAATATTCTGTGAATCATGCAATTTTTTTAATGCCACAGTTAAATCTTTACTAGTTTTTTTGTTATTTTCATAATTTACACTTTTCATACCATTTAACCAAATAGCTTTGTATACAGTTGAAAAACCACCTTCACCTATCTTTTCAATATTTGTTAAATCATTATAAGGGATCCATTGAAAATACCAAAAATTATCATAATATTTTGCTTTAATTTGTGTGCTTTTAATCAACTTATCTAATGTTTCATTGCCACTAGTCCATCCTTCAGTTAATAGTTTTGGATTGCATGATTGACACCATGCTGAAAAAGTATTATATCTATTGCAAATTGAACATTCTCCATATCTTATGCTTCTTTTCTTTGAATATTCATCATCATCATCATTTTTGTCAGTAGAAGTATCATCATGATGCTTATTGGTCACTTCATTGAAAAAATTCTTTAACCTCTTTTTGCTCTCGTTTAAGATCATTTGCATTTTTAAAAATTATTTATATTTTTTTTACCATATAATTTGCCAAAAAAAATTTTTTTTACCCACAATTGTATGTCACAGACAAAATATATTTAGATTTTAACCAGAGTTGCCACAGTTGTAATATATTTATTGGATTAAATTTTTTTAGTGCCAGAATTTATTATTAATAAAGATGGCCAACAAAGGCTAATGTTATTAATATATTAATATATATCCAAGCTAATATTAGACCGTGACACCTAAGCAATGGCGCAGTGAGCTGTTATATATAAATACTTGAAAAAAAATTAAAATGGAAGATAATAATAATAATGGTAGAAAATTCATCAGAGGAAGTTGAAATATCAATTATCGAAGATAACAATAATTTAACTATTACAAATAATACAAATACAAATATTGATAACAATGTGGAGCAAGTAAATGAAAGCTGTAATCCACATAATGGTTGTAATATTAATAAAATAAAATA